ACAAACCGACATGTGCACACATACACACATGCACGCACACTCACGTGCTTTAAGATTGTTCTTAGCTATTGGGAAAACTACCTCTGCCATTACAAGGTTGAGAAATTGACAAGTGTTGAGCTATTTATCATATCTCATTTGTTCATTAGCCACATTACTTTGTTTCTTAGAAAAATATGATGGCTGCTATGTGTTACATGCTGTAGTAGGAGCTTGTAATGTGACAAAGGTGGACATGATTTCTGACATTAGAGACTGCCATCTAGTTGAGAATACAATGCACAAACGTTTTATAAAAGTGTTTTTAAAGTTAAAATAATAACCCCCCAAAAGAGCTGAATTATTTTTCTCTACGTCTCTCTGGAGGTCATAAATCAACTAAAATGTGAAGGATAAATGGATGTTACTGGGACAGGGGGTGAGGGAGAAGAAGTAAGACATGGAGGAAATTTTGTATGGAGATAATATCTTTTCTGATTATTTCTTGTAGCAAGGACTATGAATTTTCCATTATGCAATACTACTTGCCCAAGAAGCTATTTCAACTTAAGTATGTAGGTTGCGCATAACACCATAAAGTAGGATAAGATAATCAGGATAATGATTTTACTGTTAACATCCCAAGCATTTGTATTGTAAGGTTGTGGTTAGAGTTGAGATCAGGGAATAGGCCCTGATAAAGAACCTTGTTTTCCCAAATGCCCATAAGAAGATGTGATAGACAATGGGGATTGAGAGGAGGCTGCTGTAATTCACACAGGAGGCAACAAGAAATGAGATAGAGGGAAAGACAAGGTGGGAAGAAAGAAACTACATAATATTTGCATTTACTTTAACAGTTATTTTAATAATCTTCCAAAGAATACTAAGTATTTTGCTTGAGTCCCCCTATGTCCTTGCTGTTTTGTCACCATTCTACATATGAACAGACTTTCCAGGTATTACATGTTGATTGACACATGGTTTGTACTCTCTGTTTGGATTTCCATTAGGTCTTCTATGTCTCTTAGTGAAACTCAGGACTGAGAGTTTTCAATTAGAGCATTATATTTATTATCCAAGCCCATGCTTAATTTATTAATGGACACACAAAAACAAAGACACCAATATTCTGTGTGCATATAAATGACTCTCCTTTAATTAAATCTGATGAGGAACTGTGTTCAGGCTGTTTGTAGAGGAATGGTTCTGAGAAACAGGTTGTAGGTTGAAGAATTGCTTTGGTGACTAAAGTCAAAGGTTGAACTTAAATGCACTCAAAAAGGACTTCTCTGGAAGGCACTGGATACTGAAAGGACCCGAAAGATTAATAAACAAGTTCATGTCCAGTTTATTGCACAACAGAGGAAGGGATAGTACTTTAGAAAAGACCCTTTTGAAGTGTGAGGCTTACAGATTTGTTCACAGTAACAAAGAAGTGGGAAAGGCTGAGAGGGAATGAGGTTAAGGATGGCAGGTGGTGGTGGTAACACACACCTTTAATCCCAGCCTTTGGGAGGCAGAGGAAGGTGAATCTCTGCATTTGAGACCAGCATGGTCTACAGAGCTAGTTCTGGGAGAGCTAGGACAGTTACACAGAGAAACCCTGTCACAAAAAAAAAAAAAAAAAAAAAAAAAAAAAACAAAAAAAAAAAAAAAAAAAAAAAAAAAAAAAACCAAAAAAAAAAACATTTTTTTTTCTTGTCTCCTTGAATTTCATTGGGAAGATTTTCCTTTTCTCTATTCAGAAGTGCCAAACTGGCTGAAGCCAGAGCTTTTCTCAATCAATTAAATTAAAACATTGATCTATATCAATTATGTAACAATAATAATCTAAGATAAGGAGGAGCCTGTAAACTTGAGAGTACAGGGTATGGGAGGGATTTTTAAAAACGTAACTGGGACGAGCTAGAGAGAACAAAAAAAGGGAGAAGATGATATAACATTATTTCAGTTAAAAACATATTTAAAAACAAGGGGAAAACCACCTTTAACAGCTCAAGCTTGTTTCAAGGACAGCTTTTCTTCTGTGAGTCCTATATAGTGAGGAGTATTCATCATTACAGTGGATGCTGGAAACAGGAATCCCATTGTGGCACCGCCGAGTACTTGAACATTCAGTTACTGCCTCTTGCATACTATGCCTAATGAGTCTCAGCAGATAATAGCTAATGTAAAAAGCCTAACGCCACTTGTCACATTTTAGAATACTCCATGTCTTTCTAACTACATTTGAGTTTTCTACCCTAAAAGTCAACCTTTACCTCCCCCTCACTTCTTTTCATTTCACACGGTCTGAAGATCTGACATTTGTTAGTACTCTGACATCATTTTGCCCGAGTTTCTTCTAGAGAGGCTTCAACAAAGTATTAGCTTTCCTGCCCTAACACTTGAGCAGAGGCACTGTGATAAGTAGGTTAACAGAGCCCAATTAAAATGTATTTTAAAGGAACAATTATGGGCCCCATCTGGCTTTACTACTGAAGCAGAACCTTGTCTTGCTTTTAATTGCTTAGAAAATTATTTCTAAAAATTATGGTAAAAACGAATCATTTTGTGATTTCAGTAAGATCAATGGAAATTGAGGTTCTTTCGTGCTGCCATTTTTAAAATACTTTTGTTGAGGGTGGTATAGGAAGTACAGGGATGAAATATTTGTGTATTCTCAGAGCTTAGTCTCTGGAGCAATGGTAGGGAGGAAGATGCCGGCATACATACTGATTGAGACCATGCAGGAGATATGAAGATATTGGCGTTAGTTGACTACAGTAAGGTTCTTTGGTAGTCAAGACCCATCACTGTGACAAAATGCCTGAGCAAATCAACTTGTTGGAGTAAGATCATTTGGCTCATAGTTTGAGATGTCTCGGGACATGGGCTTGTGGTTGTATTGCTTTTAGATTGTGTCAAGGGAGAAAGATCACGGTGTGGGCATGAAGGAAAAAGAGTGATTATCTCATGGTGATAAGGAAGAAGAGAGAGAAAAAATGCAAAGGTTCAGAGACAAGACAGACTACAAAAACTCATTCTAGTAGACCTGCTTCGTCTACTAGACCCTAGCTCCCCATAGTCCATTCATAATCAGTTCATCTACTGATGAGATTATAGGCTTCACGATCCAATCTCCTGTCAGTTTTGCCACCATTTGGGGAGCAAATTTCCCATTGATGAGCATTTGGGAATACTTAATTCCTAACCAAAAGAAATTGCTCTTAAGAATTATAGAATTACCTGATTAGAAACCCAAGGCTCACATCTCAAAGATAATCAAAAGTTCTGGGATACCATCTTGGAAGCCAACACTTTCTTTTTAAACACACTGGGTTGTCTGTGCATTACTATTTCTTCGTCCTCTTGTTCTTTTCTTTCCCAGAAACCTCAAACAACCAGAGCCACTGTCTCTAGATGGCCACACTAAGTGGGTTTCTCTTCTGCTCTCACTTAACTTCATCTCACTAGATCTACGATCTTAAGAACTGACAAGTGATTATAACTGGGCAGCTAACTGGTCTTGCAGTGAAGAATAAAAATGTCCACCTTATCTAAGAGTGTGAGTTGAAGGACATATATCATTGACATAGCCGAATCCAGCAGATACTACGCAGCTTGTTCTGAAAGGAGTTAAGTGGAGTATAGTCATGAACCCTGGACGTCTTGCTTCTGTCAAAAATATTTGGGAAAATATTTTTTTAACCTGTAAATACATAGCTGTGGAAAGAAAATCCAAAGGGTCAACCTTATATTTCACAAGGGAGTTGAGTTATCTAGAAGGGAAGTCACTTTACACAATACCTGGCATGAGGGTTAAGAGGAACAAATTTACAGCTATACAAGAAATCCAAGCTAAATGAGAAGAGACTTTTATGCAATATCTACATAACTTCAGAGAAGGTGTGGCATTAGGTGAAGTGTTTAGTCATTGTCTTTACACGCCAGGATTTATTTGTTTTTCACCTTGAACTTTCAGTGGAGCTCTTTGGAGCTAGAAAACTTGTTTTGCTTTTGAGACAAAAGGATTAGACTTCAGTCAAGAGTTAGTTTTCTGTTTAGTTTTACACCTTTGCCAAAGATTAAGCAGAAAGGCATATTGTTTCTCATCCTATATAAATATTTCCATGGTCTCTTTGAACTGACTGCATCTGCTCACGTGAGCCATGAATAGTGCATTTGTCACTTCAGATTCTGCAGGCTGTTGAGTTTACTCTAGGTAGCTTGGGAAACAGAATTGGGTCTAGTGGTACACTGTAATAGTGAGACCAGATGGCCAGGTTATGAAGATGAAGTGTCAATCCTTGCTGTCAAAGTGATTATATAATTTTTTTGGTTTGTGTAGTTTTTTTTTTTTCTGGGAAGAGGTTTTTCTACTCAAGTTAAAAAAATACTTTAATGATCAAGGTGAGGGACAAAGAGCAATAACCAATGTCAGGGATTTGTCTTTGAAATGAAATATTGGTGATATCAAATTAAAGGATAACTAGTCAGTATTTTTTTCAATAAGTTCTTTATTGAACAACTCATTGGAAAACTTTGAAGTACTTGGCTTTGTAATGATATTTGAAGGACTTGTGTTATGAAAGTAATCAGGAAGCCAAAAACAAGATCGTGCTTTCAGACAGTGTTGAAGTGAGAGCAAAATGTTAAGAAATGAACCAGAGAAACGGGTTATATTGTTGAACGCAGTGTATCTTGAACTGAAAACTGAACTCAGCTGTATCTCATTGTTCAGATTTCCAACTTATCCTTGAATATCAGAAATGAGGAAATTCAGCACATTTTATTCCTACATTTAAAAATGTAAGCATTGATATTTTAATTACCCTTTTATTATTGAGATTATAATATAATTTTTTTCCTCCTACATATTTTTCTCTAGAAGAAAGCCTCTTGGTTAGAATAGCTGTGCATGTAAATTAAGAGGTATGACGAGATGGCTACTTTGAAAATTATTGTTTCTCTTTGTGAGTCAGAATTTCATCAGGTCAAGTATATAGACAACACCTTTCCTCAATTTGTTTCTGAAGATTGAATCTGAAAGATGCAGTCGGCCATGATTCACCAAAACAACTCATTGGGAAACTTCCTTGAAGTACTGGCTTTCTGCTGATATTTGAAGGACTTGTTTTATGAAGGTATGAAGGTATGTATTTGAAGGAAGCCAAGTTCAATATGCTTTCCGACAGTGTTTTTCTTCCTTGTCTTTAGAAGTTAAGCTTGTCTCAGGTGTTCTCTTTCCCTTATCTCTTCTCTCCTTCATTTCCTTTCTCTTTCCCTTCCACTTGAAGAATCTCGATGTATGGGTTCTTAGTAAATAAGTTAAGCTAAAGAAATGCAGGATAAGTTCACTTATACCCATCTGCTGGCTCATAGGAACTCATGGAATAGAAGGAAGGAGAAGCAGAAATTAAACAGAGACTGATCTGAAAGAAACCAACTCCTTTTTCTCTTTTCTCTTTCAGTCCAGATGTATCAGGTGACTCAGCTTTGCCCATATTATATATCTTTTCTCAAATTGGATGGAGAAAATTTGGGAGCAACTTGAGTTCTTAGAACTTTTGAATCATTAAAAGACTTTATCTAGTGGTTCATGCCTGTTGTCTATTACCAGAACACTTAAAAATTGCCACATGTGCTATATATTAAATGGATATAGAGAGAATAGCCATCTTTGTCTTGTTTCTTATTTTTGTGAAGATGCTTTCAGCATTACTTGGGAGCTGGCTGATGGGACAGAAAAAGACTAGTTACATATGTTGTCCAACATGGAAGCTTGAATAGCCACAAAGGGCCTATGAAAGTGGTCTTTTGGGAAGGCCCTTTTGAGAGGCCATGTACAGAAGAGCTCTTGAGCAGCCAGTGGCATGCTAGGTAAAAAAAAATGCTTGCAGCTTCATGGATACAGAAGTTTTCCAGAGCTGGAGGTAAATGCAGTGGGATGAAGCTAGGATCCTCAGGGAACTGGGAGGAGGGGAGCCAGCTGCCAGAGACAGTCATGAATTGAAAAAGTAATTTAAAGATAAAGTGAAGTCCTTAAAGAAAAGTAAAAAAAAAATAATAATCCACATAAAGATGAAAAATACACAGGAAGTCTGGATTATGTATACTATTGTGTTTTCTTTGAAAATTTTGACTGTTAACGAGCTAACTTAAGAGAGACATTTTATTTGGGGGGCTGCTAAGCTAAATCAACATGAGGTATCTTGACTTCAAAATTTGGGTCTAAGGATATGCTGCTTTGGAAAAAAGGTTTGGCTTTTATTTCTAGAGAAGATGAAAATCTTTGGATTTCTTCCAGGCTAATATGGTTTGATCAAACAAGAACTCCTGAGAGGTCTTTGATGAGAGCAATGGCCCAGGTGATCCAACATCCAAAACAGCTTCCAAGCTGCTGTGAGAGATGGACCAACCACAAAAAAATACCGTCAGGACTTGATAATAATTCTAAATTTTCTCAAGATAATCATAAGATTGCCAGTGCCCCCAATCAGCAGAAAGTAATATAGAAAACTATACCCAAATTCCCCAAATACTGTTTATAAATGTCTGTTTTCATTAAAAGGGGGTGGTTATAAATGGTTAATGATCATAGTCATCTCTTTCTACAAAAGGAGGGAAATGACATAGGAATGATAAAAGGTAAATTATTAAATCTAGTAAAAAACTGTTAATCTTAAAATACATTTCATTAGTATGGATTTGGTTTATGGATACAAATTTAAGGTCAATTTTGATACAGTGTATGTATATTTCTACTCTTGTTTAAGGTATTATGTTTATGCAGCTAATTTTAAAATGTAATATATATTTAAAATACAGATTAATAATCATCGCGGGGAGGACCTTGGACTTTCCACAGGGCAGGGAACCATGACTGCTCTTTGGATTAGAGAGGGAGGGGGAGAAGAGTGGGGGAGGGAGAGGGAAATGGGAGGCTGGGAGGAGGCGGAAACTNTAGTACCATGGGACTTAGTATATGCTCTATCCAGGGAGTCAGGAAGTCCTTGGTGATAGGCTTCCTAATCACTTAGTGCTAAGGGAGAATGGCAGTGTGTTGAGATTTTCATCACTGGGACAAATAGCTGAGAAAAGCATGTTAAAGGAGGAAGGGTTTATGTTGCTCATGGTTTCAGGGGCCATAAGCCATCAGGGGTCATAGGTTATGGCTGGATGGTTGTATTGTTTCTTGGTGGTAAAGTAGAACATCACGGCTGAAACGGGTTGAGAGGTGAGGCTGCTCAGTTCACAGTGACCATGGGACTAGCGAGCGAGGCTCAGGCCTCGGCAAGAAACAGGCCCAAGGACACATCCCCAGCTAGGACTGGGACCTCCCCAAATAGTGCCGCCAACTGGGGACCAAGCCTTTAACACTTAAGCCTGTGGGGATATTTCGTATTTAAACTGGGACACATGACCGTAAGGATACGCAAAAGAGAAGGGAGAAGAGTTAACCCGACTCTGCAATTTCAACACGTTACATCTTTTAAAGGGCAGACGCCACCACTTCTTTGCCGCCATCTTTGCGGGCTTTCTCCATAGCAGTCAGGTGGCTCCTCTGCCTGCACTCTAGGTAGAATTAGCTTCCCCTAAGTAACACAAAGCTTTTCACTCCTGAGCCTGGCCTCGCCCATCTCCTAATTACTCCCACGGTTTCCACTCTAGTAACACCTGACAACCATTCCTTCCGGCTTCACGCCCCTTTCCAACTCAGGCAGTTCTTACTGGTTAGAGACTCAGTAGGTGGCCAGCCCATGCAGACACTCAGAACTGTCAAAGCACAGACAGGAAGGATGTCTGTCAGTGGCGTCCTGAGCCACAGATGGGGTCCCTGAGTGACACCCACAGCCTCCAAGACGAAGATCCGTGGAGAACTGAGACAGAAAGCTTGTGAGATCCAGAGACTGGGAGAACTGGCGGGAAACGGCATCTTCTAGACACGACAGGACCACACCGCACTAGTGGCGTCGCGGCAGCTGATCTGGGCTACACAACGTCTACATAAGCCAGTCAACCTTCCAGCACGGATGAGGAGCGACATACGAACCCCAACTCCTAGATGAGGCGCTCTCGTTAGCCTCTGAGGATGTGGTCCCTGGTAGGTGGGTCCAGTGGTGATCACAAACCCATATGTACTCGAGCAGTACAAATCGGACTCGCTGAGTTATTTAACAAAAGAGGGGCGCGAAGTCAGGAAGTGGCGCAGAATTTGGGGTAGGTCTGGGAGGAGCTACGGGAGGAGTAGCTGTGAATTTGATAAAAAACACATTGTATGCATTATGAAACTATCAAAGAATTAATAAACATCCTTTTTAAAGAAAAAAATAATCATCTATCGTATTCAAAGTTATAGTCATAATAGTTAGCTAACTCTGCCTATTTTCTCCCAGCATTTAGTTTAGTTTTCCCACCTAGCTCTATTCTGCCATATCACAGGCCAAAGCAGCTTCTTTAGTCATAGAGCAGAATCCCATATCAGTTGTTGTTGAAATCAAGCTTTAAACAATGATTGTCAGATAAGATTTAGGGAGTTATTCCAATTTTTTTGATGATATTTGACTTGTGGCCAAGTATATGGTCTATTTTGGAGAAGGGTCTAGGAAAAACTGAGAAGAAATATTCTTTTGTATTTAGATGAAATGTTCTATAGATATTTGCTAGATCAATTTGAGTTGTAAGTTTGACAGCTCCATTATTTCTCTGTTTAGTTTCTGTCTGGATGACCTGTCTGTTAGTGAGAATGGGATGTTTAAGTCTCCCACTCTTAATGTGTGGTGTTTGATGTATGATTTAAGCTATAGTAATGTTTCTTTTACAAATGTAGGTGCCCTTTTATTTGGGGCATAGATATTCAGAATTGAAATATCATCCTGGTTAATTTTTCTTTTAATTACTATGAAATGTACTTCTCCATCTTACTCGATTAATTTTGCTTTGAAGATTATCATGTTATATATTGGGATACCTATATCAACTTGTTTGTTAGTTCCATTTGATTAGAAAATCTTTCTTCAACACTTTCCTCTTAGGTAATATCTATCTTTAATGTTGAGATGTGTTTCCTACATATAGTAGAAGAATGGATCCTGTTTTTGTATCCACTCTATTGAACTATGTATTTTTTACTGATGAATTGAGTCTATTGCTGTTAAGAAATATTAATGAGCAGGGATTGTTAATTCCCATTATTTTATTGTTGTTGTTGTTGGTAGTGTGTGTGTGTGTCTTTCCTTTCTTTAAATTTTGCTGGTGTGAGATTATTGCCTATGGTTTTATGGGTGTAGTTAACTTCTTTGGGTTGGGGTTTTCCTTCTAGTAGCTTCTATAGGGCTGGATTTGTAGATAGATAATGTTTAAATTTGACTTTATCATGAAATAGCTTGCTTTCTACATCTATAGTAACTAAAATTTTTACTGGTTATAGTAATCTGTGCCGTCATCTGTGATCTCTTTGACTCTGCAGCACATTTGTCCAGGTTTTTCTTGCTTTTAAAGTCTCCATTGAGAAGCTGGGTGTAATTCTAATAGGTATGCCTTTATATTTTACTTGGCCTTCTTCCTTTGTAGTTTTTAATATTCTTTCTTTGTTCTATATGTTTAGTGCTTTGATTATTATGTGATGCAGGTACTTTCTTTTCTGAGACAATCCATTAGGTGTTCTGAAAACTTCTTGTATGTCTATAAAAAATTAGGAATTTTTTCTTCCTTGATTTTGTTAAATATAGTTTCTGGGCTTTTTCTTTTTATAGTCGTATTATTCATATGTTGGTCTTTTCAGAGTATTCCAGATTTCTTTGATGTTTTGCGTTATGATTATTTTTAGATTTAATGTTTTTCCTGACTAATGAATATATTCCCCCTATTGTTTTCATTTCCTGGGATTTTCTCCTCCATGTCTTATATTCTTTTGGTGATGGTTCCATTTGTAGTTCCTGTTGCTTACCCAGATTTTCTATTCCCAGAATTCCCTCAGTTGGGAAGTGGAAGGGGCCTTGGGAAACAGAATCAAAAGTGGGGCAGCTTAGCTAGCAGGCAGGTCACTTACCTGTTCTGACTGGTATGAACAGCATCTGAGCAGTGTAAGTCTGCTGAAGTTGGGGAAAGAGCCCAAGAAGTGTGGGGTGGTGAGCTAGGAGGGAGGTTTGGTGGATATGTGGTGTGGAACAGAATTTGGGGGAGTTGGACAGTTCAGCTGGCAGAAAACAACTTCAAATGTATCAAGGACCATACAGAAGCCTTGATCCTCTGAATCTGAATACACTTGAATTCAACAGCTCAGAAAATTACCTCTGAACAAGATCCTGATAGTACAGGCTTTACCACAAACAGTTTAATAATAAATGGGACTAAATGAAACTGTTAAAACTTCTACACAACAAAGAACAATGTCATCATTCAAGTGAACATGCAGCCTAAAAAATGGGAAAAAGTCATCATCATCTACAGTTCTCAGAGATGGAGAATATCTACAATGTACAAGACACTCAAACCACTAAGGAGCAAGGAGAAAAACAACTCAGTTTAAAAAT